TTTTTTTTTTAACAATCAGTTCATGGCTCCATCTATTTGTGGCGAGCAGCACGTGCTGTAAAACGGGTCCAGCCTCCCATATACATAAAGCTCACAGTACAAGCACATGTTGCAATCCTACTGAAATGACTTTTTTACTAGGTAGCTGAACGTGAAGTAACTACGCAGTGTAGCGTAGAAAAGGTCCTCCATTCCTACTGAAATGACTGATTTCGGGATCCGACAGATAGCATGGCATGGCAGATATGGGGTGTAAGCCCTGCTTGTGGCGGTTCACTTGTTATTGGGGCCTCGTCCTGTGACACCCAACCTCACGCCCAACGCGACTTCCTGATCGGAGTGGGATGTGGGCTTGGAAGTGCGAAAAGAGGTGTGCCAAGGATTTTTGGGAAAGTGGGGGCGGAGTCCCAGGTCGGAACTGAGATCTCCTGTGGCAAAGTTTCAGGGGCATAGATGCAATGGAGCTAACGGGGTGAGTTACTTCAGGTCTGTTGGCGTTCGATGTCGTGCAGCATAAGACAAATGGCATGCGAGGTGCATTCAAGGCCGTCTGATTCGTCTATTTTAGGGGCGGCTGTTCGGGGAGAGGCCCGCCTAGGATAGTTGTGCTCCCGATGAGTTGGACGTTTGGGTGCAGACACGTGGAATCTGTCGTCGCGCGTTAAGGTTAGGCCTCCTAGTTTCAGGGGTTCGTCGGTTGCCGCGTCGTCGACAATTTCCGCAGGGCGTGCAGGGTCAGTACGCGGCGATGGAATTCCACGGAACCACCGTGAGTTGGTGATACGGGAGGAGGAGACGAAAGGGAGGGAAGTTCGTAGAGATAACGACGAAGCCGGGGGATATGAAGTATTGTGTGTTGTCCGACGTGGGAAAGTCGGGGCACCTCGAATCACTGGTTGTGGCATAGTGAAACTCCCTAGGGCACAATCGATTCTCGGTTAGGCAGGGGAATTCCGGGTATCTTTGCCTAATACACTTTCTCACCCAAGGGTCGAAGTACTCCGAGTCCCAGGAGCTCGACATCTTATCATTGCAGTGTGCTGAAATTCTTCCGCGCGCGTCTAACCGGCAAGGGGATTTTCCGATATGATGTTCGGAAGTCTTATCCGTTTAGGTGCGTGGGGGAAGGAAAGTTCCCACCTACCCGATATCGAAGGTGTCAAGTTCGTCAATGGTCGCGAATCGCCGCGCGTGGATACGTGTAGGCTGCGCAGATCAGATCTCGCTTACACGCATCCCCACAAGGTATTCGTTTGTTTCTGGACAAACAACTACCCCATCATCTAATCACTCTGTGATCCCGTACGCAATCGTTCCTGAGCATGCAAGGTGCCATCAGGCATCGCAACAACAACAGTAAACAACAATGGAAGCAGTATTGACGACTACGCAAAAGTTCCTACTATGCTCATGAGTGTATCAAAATGACAAGCAAAGGCAAGGACCAGGCAAAAAGAAACACAACAGACATGACATTCATTCATCCATTCATTCGACAAAACACGCAACAAACGAGATCGAGATTAATCGCAAAACGAGTGTGGGCCGAAACCAAGCCAAGGTTCCAAAAACAAAAGAAAACGGGCGAGTCGCCCGGAGCTGAGATCAAAATTTATATACAAAGGCAAAGAGGGAGAAAAGACAAAGAAAACTGAAAATCCGCGTCCATCAACCTCAGCTCCCTCTTCCTCTCTCTCTCTCTCCGATGCGGACAGTTCGTCGTCACGCACCAACCCACGGAGTCGTCACCCCGCTTAGTCGTCCTGCACCCGCCAGGTTCGCCCGCGCACTACAATCCGTCGTAGCCCCACGCGTCAACCCCGCGCATTCGGCACCAGCTCGTCGGGTCGCCCGACTCCCACTTCAACTCACCTCTTACTTCGCTCGTGAGCCGACCCTCACTGATCGCGCTACCCCGAGCATCCAACAGTTGGTTAAGAGAGCTATCTAATCACGCAGCCAAAATTTATAGCGTGCATGCATGCGCGAAGAACACGGAATTGCAAGGACTTAGAAAGGAGATTAGGAGAGGGAGCGCCTATGTTCTGCATGGCCAGACCGCGGCGTGGGGGACGTAGCCACTATCCACGCATCGATCCGATCATGCAGGCCGCGGGCTAACTAGGCACAACAAAAGGGAAAGGGAGAGCGTGAAAGCCGAAGCTCAAGAAGAAAGATACAGTTACAATGGCGCCTGCCCAAAAATTACAGTTACTTGCAAGATTAAGGGCACCGACTAATCAGAGGCTCCGCTGCAGCCGCAAAAAGAAGCTCGCAAGAAGGACGACGCGCGGCAAAAGAAATCCCGAATTCCTAAATTCCTAAATTCCTAGCTAATGCAAAAAGAAGCACAAATTCCGAAAAAAAAATCTGAAGTTCCGAAAGCTGTTAAGGGTTCGACAAGATTCGAAAAAGAAATTCAAAAAGAACGAAGCAAACTCCGGCGCGATCTCTGCGCCTAAAACCCGACAATAGAACAAAAAGAAGTGACGTCAACCATTATTAATTGCGCCTTTTCAGCGCGCCAGCCACTCAATCGGCCATCTCGGGACTTGCCCGACCCTGAACCCAGCCGTCCGAAAAGAAACGACGCAAAAAGACGAAGAAGCGAGGACACTGATGCAATTTTCCTTCCATCCCGATCTCCCGTAATTGGCCCAACCTTCCCATCTTAGGACCCCTCATTGCCATCGCGCAGAAAATCGCGCGAAACAGAAATTGGTTCGTCACAGTCCCTTGTTATTGGGCCCTTTCAGCATGTGGTCCGGCCTTCGCAGCAGTCAAGGGGGGCCGGGGAGAGCGGGGGCGTGGTCCCACTAGCAAAGAGGATCGGATCAAATGCCTGCATCTGGACGTGTTTGTAGAGAGGTGCAGAAAATTGAGATTGAACTGCTTTTCTGCATCTCTGCATAAAACGCATCCAGATTCATGCATTCGATCCGATCCTCTTTGCTAGTGGGACCTCGGCCCGGGGGAGGGCGGGGGAGGAGGAGGGGGAGGAGGAGGAGGAGGAGGAGGAGGAGCATGATCGGCTATATGCATTGTAGAAAAGTGGAGAAAAAGAAAAGAAAAAGAACTGAAAAGGGTGGTCAGATGTTCAAACGACTTGATAAGGAACATGCGGTTGTATGGGAGCAGCAGAAGAGGGACGGCCAGTTCACCGGGGTGTTGCAGTACAAGGAAGAAAGGAGCCTGAAAGGGCGGGTCTTGATGGAAGAAGTACGGGTATACATGAGATTTGGACTCCACAACCGGTTCTACGTATGAAAGGGACGCCTGTCAGAATGATGAAGCTCGATGTATGTCTCTATGGGTGGCCAGATGCAAAAAGGAAGCCGGAACTCCACCAGTACTCCTCCGCCTGGGAATGGATATCCTGAGACAGAGAGGTAGTACATCAGTGAAGATTCAGGAGGCCCACCCCCAAGCCTCGAATGGGAGTGAACTCTCGGTTGAGTACTACAATGGAACTTGGAAGATATGTAGAAGACTGCCAAGCACCAAATGCGCCTCGCTCGTCTGGTTGATCACACATGCGGCCCCTCTGGATGCAGAAGCCCTGTTCCTTAGGGGGATGGATGCGGAGGTCAGATGCTCAAGATGCCACCGCCAGCCTGAAACAGCCCACACCTGTGGGCTCCTGCCCACTCTCTCTGCGCATGTGGAAATGGTGGGAGTACCACTGGAAACAATTTGGGGGCCCAGAGGAAGTGACATGGGACCTGGAATGGGCCTTAACGGGCAAACTTCCAGACACACTTGAATTGGGCAAGGGCTGGGGCTATGTAGCAGTGTCTATCCGGGCAGTGGTGGTTTGGTGGATATGGAAGGAGGGGCATTCGGTGCTCTTTCAGCGCAAGTATCACTCTGATCCTGCTCTTAAGTCCGGCATGAAGGCGACTGTCCGTCACATGATCAAAGTCAATTGGAGGAAGAAGGTGCTGTCCAGAGGAGGCCAGGTGAGAGATAGGCCGAGACTGTGGTTTCTGCGGTCCTGGGCCAAAAAGAATAAACTTGCAGCAGTGTCTCTGCAAGGGAAACTGGTTCTGTCCAAGTGGCTACGTATGGAGTAGCTAGAAGGGAAACATATTCGTTAATTTCTTTCTGTAAAACTTGGGTTGGGGGGGGACAGGGGACTTGTGTTTAGAAGTAGCAGTAGCTGTAGAACCAGCAAATACAAGTAGGAACTAGTATAAATTAGAGTGGGACGGGGTTGTAAGGCAGAACCTACCTGTCACTCGGTAGTTCGCGAGGCTTTTCCATCAGGTGGCCAGAAGAGTCTCGATTTAGAGCTCTGGGAGTCCACAGCAGAGAGCATGTGAGTGGTCGTCCTTTTTTTGTCATTTGCAGTGTCCGCCAGGTTGGTCTGGCTTGAATGTGAGGTCGCCGGCCTGGAACTCTTGATTACGAAATGAATTTGTGATTAACAAACAAAAAAAATAAAATAAAAAATTGATGGCTGACAATCTCCGTCTCGGCGGCCATCGTTGCCCCTCAGTCGATTTAGGAAATAACGGTCCGGTCGTGCTGGTGCTTCTTTTTTTGTTTTTTTTTTCCTTCGCCCACGCTGGTGCGATGTTAGGGGCTGGTTGCACGACTCGCCATCCGCCAGATTTCTGAATGAATTTAAACAGGGAAATACGTCCTGATGCATTCAAAATGTTGGCGGACGGCGAGCAGTGCAATGCAACTTAACTACTGGGTAGTGCTAATAAATAAATATAAATAAGGGTCGTGCATCACCAAAAACAAAAACAAAAAAGGGTCGTGGGCGTGAACTTGGACTACGCCATGTCCTGACTGGTGAGGGCACGTGCCGGAAAGCTCTGACTGATGTGAGGGCGTAGTCACACCAGCCCGATTTTAAATGTATCTGAACGCAATTACAGCCCAACGTGAATGCATCTGACCGCGATTACGCCCATATAATAAGTGAAAAAGTCCCATTCGTAGTATTCCCCGAGCGTACGCGGTTCACCAGTTCCTCATCGAGGTCCCGGGGCAAGGTCCCACTACCAATAGCAAAGAGGATTGGAGTAAACGCCTTTCACGGAGATGTGGACAAGCCTCGCCATAGCGACTTTCTGCACCTCTCCACAAACGCGTCCAGATTCAGGTGTTAAATCCAATCCTCTTCGCGAGTGGGTCCTACAGTAGTCCAGGTATACTTTCTTTTTTTTTTTTTTTTTTTTTKTTTTCTACAGGGGAATGGAGTCCCTGTGGGTTCTGGCGCGAAGGACCGGCGGGCCCAGACAGGCCCGGGGGCCAAAGTCCCACTAGCGGCTTTGAGTTTCCTTGATGCCTGAATCTGGACGTGTTTGAGGAAATGCGCAGAAATCCCGTTGAGTTTTCTCAACTGCACAGCTCCACAAACACATCCATATTCAGGCGTTGAGGAACCGCAGCGCTGCTAGGTAGTGGGACTTGGGCCCGGCGGGTATTGTGTTCGTGCTCAGAACCTGGTCAGGAAACAGACGCAAAAAATTCCACGGCAGAATTCAGTGCATGGCCATGGCGCTACCAGTCGTCTCCTGTCGTTCCCACCCGTCATATCCTTGGCGCGCAATGGGGGGGTGAGGAGGCCATGGCCATGCTCCGACAGGTCTGGGTAAAATGGGCTATGGAGATGCGCCTACGGGTCTGGGTAATGGGTAATTAATAAGTAAGTTATAATTATTATTATTATTATTATTATTTAATTAATAAGTAAGTTATAATTAAGTAAGTGATACCTAAGTTAAGAATTAATTAAGTTATAACTAAGTTAATAATTAATTAAGTTATAACTAAGTTGTGCATGTCAGACACCTCAATCCCCCCGCCCCCGAGCAGCCACGTCCGGGGACCTATTCCTTCCCCCGTCAATAGCACCCAGCGCTAGGCAACCCGGCGCACCCAGCGCACCCAGCGCAGACGCTGCGTGTTCCACAGCAGCAGCGCTGCGCGCACTACCGGTAGCTGCGTCGAGAGTTCGAGCCTACGGCTTGCACGACGACGACAGGTTGGCTGCCTGTCTTCCTCGTCGCTCCCTGCCTGTCTTCCTACTTTCCTCCGTCACATCCCGCTCTCCTCCATTACTCACCCCCTGCTTCACTAATTCTTCTGCGCGCACGCATGCATCCTCTCTCTCTCTCTCTCTCTCTCTCTCTCTCTCTCTCTCTCTCTCTCTCTCTCTCTCCCGCACGACTTCGTCTCTCGCTGTATCTCTTTGCTTTTCCGATATGTGTGTGTGTGTGTGTGTGTGTGTGTGTGTGTGTGTG